TGCATGACTATAAAACTACAAGTAGTCCTTCTTTCTCAGATGTAAGTTGGAAGGATGTATCTTTTATATATCATGTATGGCTAGGTGTTGTAGAAAACCTACATGTAAAAAATGCAATCATTAATTTACTCATTCTAGTTTTGTTGTGTGCCTCCCATATGGGCAATTGGCATGGTCACACTGGAGTTACAACCTACCAGGCCAGGTGTGGCAATGATGTAGAAAAAAGCCAAGAAGCAGGAGTGAATGCAGCATGGTTCTTAGGAGTGGCAGTAGTACTTCCTCATTGGAAACTTCCTGGGCTAAGTACATTCAGGCAGGCATTCATTCCATAAGGAAATGAGCTAAGTCACTTTACTGTGCACACAAATGAATCAAATGGTATAGACAGACACTCGAGCTTTTCAATTCACCAAAAAATGTCATGGAATTAATATCCGGGAGCTTTGTTTGCACCATCTCTGGCAAGGACGAAAGTGTTTGGAAACACATGGAGGCAGAGAACATTTAGCTTCCTGTTCCTATACTGAAACTCTTTAATACAGGAAAGAAATTCTAAAACAACCATTTTTGCCACCACCACCCAAGGGATGGAAGAATCAAATAAAATTGGTAGAAATAAAATTATTTGATGCTTTTGTAATATTTAACAAGAGAAGAAGAATAAAAATAGGTAAAGATGCATGATTCCATGCATATATTCCTAACAACTTTGTTTTATTGGGTAGTTACACACATGTACCTAGATAAATCCATGGTATAGTTAATGCTAAAGATAATCATTGCCTTTGCCTAATTAATGAATAAAGATGATACAAACCATAGAATTAAGATTAAAACAATGCTTTTTCATAAGGTTTTCTCTTGTCCAATTTGGATATAATAAAAAAATGGAATATGCCAAACTCTTCTAAAAAATGCCTATGAAATGGACTGCCTTTGGAAATTGACCATTCTCATACCACCAGGATCATTTCCCTTGAGTCACATTAAAATGAAAGAGTAACTTCAAATCCTGGCTTTATCATTTTTGGTCCTCCGGACCTCCCTACATTTACAAATGAATGGGGTTGTGAGATTTTCATCTCCTAAGTCTTCCCCTTCTAAAAGTGATTCCACAATTCACCCACATCCTTTCAGATACTTGAACAGTCTCAGGAAAATGTTGGATCATGCCACAAAAAAACACTCATTGTATCCACAGGGAAAACACACAGAATGAACCTTGCAAACAGTTGCTGTTCATTACAGCTGAGCTGCTATAAATGGCTGTTGACACTGAGACCAGATGTCATGGAAAATCCTGCATCATGACGAAGCAATGGGGTGGGGAAAGAGCCTTTGTGTGAAAATGTCAGTAGAATCTATTTAAAAGCCAACCTCAAACTGAGTGCATCGAAAAGATTTAGAAATAATCTCAGTTTATAAAACCAATAGAATTCATTATGTTAGTATTGTATATGTAATGTATAAGTATTAAGTTAGCCAACTTTAGTTGGCTGCATTGTTGTGGTTATTTCTCAAGTTTTGAACATTCATTTCAAGTATTACATGCTCTACATGTCAAAATAACCTGAAGCACTGAACCATAACAAAACGAATCCCTAATGTATATATTGTTTTCAAAAAAATCTCCAGTGCTCCAGTGATACAAACCCACTGTAATTTGATCAACCCATAGACACTATTATGAGATATAACTTCTGTCTTAGAGTGTTCATTCAAGAAATAAAGGAATTATTGGCTTTGAGAGTCTATGAGTTGACCAAATTCACCAAGCCAGAGTTGCAAGGAATGAATTTTCTTCTAAATCCCACTGTTCTGTTTCTCTCAAATGTAACTACATTGGGAGATTCTTGTTTCTGATCTTAACCTACCTCATCCACCCTACAAAGTCAGAAATATGTAATAGTTGTAACAAAGCATGTGGTTAGAGATCCTCTCTCAGGAGAAGAAACCGATTAGGCGAGAAAATCTACTCTTTCTGTTCTGATGAACTATAAGCATGATAAGCACTATAAGTTACTTTTCTATCTTAGGCATTCAGAATTTGCAGTAACCTACGTGGCAGTAGACTTTTCCTATGACAATATGTTTTCAAAGTCGGAGGCTTTGTTATGAAAACAATTTAAAGAAATCAGAGTAAATAGGCCTGCTCTGGCTAAAATGTTGCTCTAGATTTAGGCATGAGGAACCTTCTTCCTGCCAAGGGACATTTAAACATTTCTCACATCATCACAGGCCCTACAATATTATCAACACAGGAAGACATGACACAAGCAATGGTAAGGACCATGACATGTCTGTCCTGTCAAGTACCAAGAGATTTTGTGGGCCTTACCTGGCTGATGAAGGATGGGGTAGATGTTCCCCACTTCATAAGAATTTCTATTAGAAAAGCTGAGCCTCCTGAACCCTCACAGAACACAGTGACAGGATTATTCCCACTACATTTCAAAGAGTAAAGGTCATTTAAAACAATCTTGTAGTGAAACATTAGAAATCAAATAACCCTTAAATAAATTCAGTAATTACTCTGATTTCTCAGCTTGCATACCAAGGGTCCATAGTTGGGATGGCCTCATAGATACACACAATGTAAAGCTTTTTCAGCCCTATTCATTTAAACATGCAGACATGTTTAAGATAGGCCTTAAGACATATTTAAGATAGGCTTGTCTTTTCTGGTATATAGCTGCAGCTGAACAGTCCTCAGGGTAGAAGGTGAAACACTGATGCACATTTCATCTTCCCAGATGAATCACAGGCCCTGCAGCAAGGCATTCTAGGTCATCTCTAGTTATGAAGAATGGCCCACCCCTGTCATTCAGAGGTCATGCATGACAAACTCACAGGCCACCATTTCTTCTGAATTGGCTTAAACTTTGTGTTTATGGGCATGATGCACACAGCCCTTCCAGTGCATCTAGTGATTAATGTACCCATTACATTAGTTTATTGACTAATGGCACTGGCATTTGCTCAACTAACTTCCATACCATGTAACCAAAAAGTCTTTAAATGACTCTAAATTCTTCAGTGATTTGAGCTCTCTCATTGAATGAGTCTGCGGCTAACAAACTAGTCTGGATGTGTTAGCAGACATCTCTGAAACTCTCAGTGCTTTTAAATGTGCAAGTCACCCAGGAGCACATTTAACTGTTACTTACACTTTGATGTGCATTATCCAAGCTCCTAATTCTAAAATAAACAGTTGGAAATTTTCTCTTGATTCAATTATCAAATGCATGAATGCAGTGGACCATAAATTTTAGTTGTGAAAGTAAAATGTCAAATGTGACTACATTCACACGGTTAGACATTTTATCATATTAATAAGCAACCACAGTTTCCCAGTCATTTCATAGGTAAGATGTTGTCACTAAAAGCTAGCTCAGCACTCATGCATAGTCTAGAGACAACTTTACCCCAAAGTCCAAATTAAATTATGCACTTGGTGTTATATAGTTCAATCCACTATTGGCTCCCAAAGTTTTACAAAGGTTTCTTCACGTTTACCAATGGTCACGATAGTGATGGATCTGATGGCAGTGAGAAGCAAGAGCCTGAAGAAGTCTGGTACTTAATCCAAACTTATCTGCCCACACTCCGATCTCTTATAGATTTAATCTAATTTCTTCTGAATTTTGGTTATGGGTTTTCGCTATTTTGCATGGCTGGCTTAATTTTTTTTTTAATCAAATACTGGTTTCGGCTGTGTTTACGCAAGGTCAAAACTAACAGAATTACCTAATTTGATCAGAAGACAGGTGCTAACATGGTGGAGAAAATATTTAAGTTGTCGACATACAAATAAAACCATTTTGATCGACTGAATTTTTAGATTTCTAGAGAACGGTTTTGGCACTTGTCAAACCCATTGTTTCCCAATGTCATTCTGTCTGAGACACAGCTTAAATTCACTGGATTTTGTCCCAAACTAGGAAGATATTTGACTATTCTCCCTTATGGACACCAATCTAGCCTGTTCATCCAGATAGCTTGGTGGTAAAGGTATTGACCCAGCATCTTTTTCTTAACCATCTTCTCCCTCCATTTTTTAAATATCCACAAAGAGGGTCCAGGGAAATGGAAGACATTGGCTTGTTGCTTATTTGGAAATATCAATGTGTCTTGATGCTCTAGTTGGGAAACAATACTGTAGACACAGCCTGATACCAAGATCCAGTAAACAGTGCTTGAGTAACAATAACTATACAAGAACCCAGAATGTATCTTTCTCACAGTCATTTGAGATGAGAGAAGAAATATATAAGTAATGTTTTGAATCACACTTCAAAGAGATGTAAATTATATTTTAAAAACCTAGCTTATAAAGGGAAAAGAAGTTAACTGTAACATTTGGCAAATGCTAGGATACTTTTTCTGCCTTTAAGAATAAACAGATTCTTAAAGACAGCAGTTTTAATACATAATTTAGAGTGCATCTCCAAATTTTGTAGAGACATTGTTTGGAAACATTGAGGAATCACAGAATCACTGCACTTGGATCCAAACTCTTAAAGTCAACTAGGATTTAATTTGCACAGTTTTATTTGCCAAATGTCTGTAGATTGGTCCAACTTTTGTCATCATTTTGCCAAGTTTCCTTCTGCTGAGAGTATCTGTGCTCTGTGAGCCTGCTAAGTCTATGTCTGTGGCCAACTTTGTGCCTTGAATGGTCCTTGAAAACATGTGTGCAGGCCAAGACACATGCTTGTTTATTGGATCTCTCCCTTCTACCCACTATCTCTCCCCAACCTTTATGCATCTGTCTAAAGCCTGCACACATGATGTTTTGAAAACCATTTTCTAACCATATTTTCCCTGGGATTTAGGAATGCCAGTCTCCAGGAGAGACAACTGTGCATGACTCTTTTTGTTTTGTTTTGTTTTCTCCCTTAATCTTGTGTTAAAAAAAAAGAGTTTAGTTTTGAATAGTCACTTAAAATAGGTTCTCACCTTGGTCTCTCTCTGTTTTTTTTTCTTTCTAAATAAAGCCTGAGAATTTGCTTTTAGCTAGCAAATCCAAGGGAGCAGCTGTGAAACTGGCAGACTTTGGCTTAGCCATAGAGGTGCAAGGAGACCAGCAAGCATGGTTTGGTGAGTAGAACCGGATCCTTCACACAATCTCTACGCTCCATGCCACTTCTCTCCTCCATACTACTCAATATCTTTTTGCTTCTAACTCCTGACACTTTTTCTTAATTTTGTCAGTTGTGGGGCTTGAATTTGGGGCTTACCTGCTGTCCCTGAGCTCTCTTGTGCTCAAGGCTGTACTCTACCACTTTGATCCACAGCACCACATCTGACTCTCTGATGATTAATTTGAGATAAGAGCCTTGTGGCCTTTCCTGTCTAGGCTGGCTTTGAACCATGATCCAAAGATCTTATTCTCCTGAGTAACTAGGATTACAGGCATGGACCACCCAACACCTGACTTCTAACTCCTGACTCTTAATCCCACTTTAGACATATTTCTTCTAGCAGCATCTTAACTAATGTAAGATACTGGACCTGTAACATTTTGAACCTGATAATAAGAGGGGACAAAATCAAGAAATAATTTTAGGGAAAATAAAAATGGGGACATGGAAACACAAGTTATTTTAACATTTAAAGATAGATGAGAAAACCAATTCTGTAGTAATAAGTAATGAGTATTGCAATATCCAAAGACATTTTTGTCCTGTGGCTTGATGAATAGAAGTTCTTTTCCTCTACCCCTGTCCCAAGTCCTGACCTCAAACTCAGAGGCTGGACACTGTCCCTGAGCCTCTTTGTGTTCAAGGCTAGTGCTCTACCACTTGAGTCACACCTCTACTTCCATTTTTTTTTGGTAGTTAATTGGAGATAAAGAGTCTCACAGGTTTTTCTTCCTGGCTGGCTTTGAACCATAATCCTTAGATCTCAGCCTCCTGAGTAGTGAGGAGGGATGAGCCACTGGTGTCCAGCTCCAGAGATTTTTTTTTTAAAGAAAGTTGATTGATCACATATAGTGATGCCACAGAGAGCAATGGACAGAGTAGGTTTCTAGGATATATAAATTTCATACATTTGTTACCCATAAATTAAGGAAATTTTATTGCACACACAAAGCTGTGGGTTTGAGCCCTAGTACCACAAAGAAAGAAATATTTTTAGCCATTCCAAGTCATATATCTATATGTTTATGTGTTTTGTCTTAATTATTTTCTAATTTATTGGTGTGCCAGTTTTGTCATTAAAAATTCTGATGGTTTTGACATTTCTAGGGTGACATACATCCAGATGCGTTGTACTCATTAACTGACATGTTGAACTGAAACACTTTTGTAAAAATACTTAAAGATAATAAAAGAGAGAAATAGTTATGTGATGAAAATTGTTTCTTCTAATAGGAGAGGAAAAGTATGTTCACTCATCACAAGAGCTAAAGCCAACACTCCTCTAATGAAAGCCAAGCTAACAAGAGAAAAGCTAAAAAATTTATTTAATCAAAGTGTTGTATGTTATAAAGGAAGACCCAATGGCCCAGATTTTTTTAAATTCCTTTATTTAAAATGCATACTTTTAATAACCTTCAAATACAGTTATAAATGTTGGATACATTCAATGCAGAATGTGTACATATTGCAGAAGCTGTTAAATTCTACTTACCTCTGGACCTTTCTCTTAGGAATGTTAATCTCACGCCACTCAGTGTGGACATCATTTAGAATACAAAAAAAATTGTTGGTGAAAATTCAGGAAAGAAATGAACCTTAGTATATGGGAATGTAAATTAATGAAACCACTATGGAAATCAGTATGGAGATTCTGCAAAATTATAAACATAGAACTACCCTATGATCTATCTATACCATTCTTGGGCATTTATCTGAAAGATGTAAAACAGGGTACAGTAAAAATACTTGAACACTTACTTATATTGCAGCCACAATAGCCAAGGATGGAAACAGCCCAGATGCCTTCAAAGGGACAAATGGAAAAGAAAATGTGCTACACACACACACACACACACACACACACACACACACACAGGACTTTTATTCAACCATCAGTAAGAATGAAATTATATAGCATTTTGCAAGGAAATGGAGGGATCTGGAAAACACTCAGACTGAGTAATATAAGGCAGACCCAGAAAGCAAAGTACGAATCTACTTTCTCATGTATGGGTCATAAACTCAAATACTACCTGTTATGTATACATACAAGGGCAGATAGATAGATAGATAGATAGATAGATAACCAAGCTTACTAATATATAGTAATGCAGAAGTGAAACTAAATGAATATCATTTCTGTATGAGCACAGAAAGGCTAGAAGTTATACTTCTAGATTTTATAACTGGTTTGTGATTCTAGTTTCTAGTTTCTGTGGCTCATTTTGGGCAATAGGAATTCTAGTTTCTATAGCTCATCTTATGCAATCATCTTAAGAAATCTAGTTTGTAAGGCTATTGTGGAGGAGAGAGGGGAGCATGAGAAAGAACATGGAACGTGAAAAAGATCCTACCTTGCTTTCCTTAGTTTAGGTCCATGTTTCCAGTGTGCCAGGGCCTTGTACTCTGAGCCCTATCATTTAGAGTTGATTCCTAAGAAGGAAATCAACTCTAGGTAAGCTTTCAATTTTACTAATTCTAGCTGGGCTTATGGATTGATTCAATATGAGGCTTGAATAAGCCAAGAGTTTTTCTGTCTCAATTCTCTGTACCTGTCTGTCTGTCTGTGTCTCTCTCTCTCTCTCATTCTCTCTCTCTCTGCCATTTCAAGTATGAACTTATTTTTCTAATAGAGTTGTATAATATAAGCTTTCCCCATTGTAAGTCTTATATCTCCCTTCACAGTCGATGTATGTGGGCTAACTTTTGAAATGCTATTAATTTCTGATTTCTTTTCCTCTGAAGAACAAAAAAAGATAGACCCCCACCCAAAGTGCTTCCCTTTTGTGTTGTATGTACAAAAGCTTCTCTGTAAGCTAAACAAACATGCCTTAAGATGGACATATAGACCCTGAGATCTGCCTTATCTGTCAAGGTCACCAAATCTAGTTAATAGAAGTGGCCCAGCAGCCTTCCCTCAGCTGCTTTGTGACAGCCTAATTCAGGACCTCATTTCCTGGTGTTTAAATAATCTTATCCTAGTTGACTGTAAACAGGAAGACAATAAGACCTATACTTATATCTACAAATTGGAGATCTAGATGTATTTTTTTATCCAGGGGAATGAGCCAAGCACTGGTGGCTCAAGCCTATAATCCTAGCTTTTCAGGAGGCTGAGATTTGAGGATCACAGTTTGAAGATAACCTGGGCAGGAAAGCCAGTGACAGTGATCTCCACTAAACTACAAAACAGGCTTTAGCGCAAAAGTGGTAGAACACTATCCTTGAGCAAAAACAGCTCAGGGATAGCACCCAGGCCCTGAGTTCAAGCCCCAAGTCCCTGCTCTCCCCCCAAAATGAAGTACCAACAGTTAGATTTTTGACAGGAAGTACAGTAAGAAGTGTGTCAGATACATTGACAGAGAAAAATAACTGGAGGTGCATAAATTAATAGGAGGCCCTGATCCCTAAGGAGCTATAGCTTTTGTGTCAGTAACTATTCACCTTGCAGGGTGGGAGGGGCTTTCCAAAGGCCTCAGGAAGTACTCTGGGAGTATAAGGAAGGAAGTCTGCATTCTGCCCCTGATTAAAGCTTCAGTATTGGAGAAAGATCAGATCTACAGTTATCTGGGCACTGAATGGCAATTGGTTCATTGATGTGCGAAGACATAATGATGTACCTTTTGAAGAGTTTGGCTTTTATCTTAGAGGTTTCAGGGATCTGGTGAGGGAATTTGAGTGGAGATGGACATATCTGGGTTTAAAGTACATAATGATGGTTTCATTGGAAGATAGTTTATGAATAATTAACTTGAGATAGGCGCTGGGGGCTTATATCTATAATCCTAGCTAGTTAAGAGATTGAGATCTGAAGGATAGAAGCCACTTTGGGCAGAAAAAATCCACAAGACTCCATCACCAATTAACCAGAACCCGGAACCATATCTCAAATAATAAAATGCCAGCTGTGTCTAGAACACATACACACACACACACACACACACGAAGAATTTATAATTAACATGAAAGCAAGGACCTTGTCATTTAAATTATGAATGCTAGCTTAAACCAGGAAATAGTTGGGACCAAGCAAGTTCCAAACAACACAGAGAGTAGACACAGGACAGACAAGGAATCTCAACTCTAGGGGAATCTGTACCAGCCTTTTTGTATTCATGAGGTACAAAAATACTGTACAGAGGGGTTATAGTTACATGGTGTACATTTCCTATGGAGCATTGTTACCTCCTCCTTTGTTTTTCCCCTACCATCCTTTCCCTCCCACCTCCCCAACTCTTCCCCCTGCCAAGTTGTAAAGTTCGTTTTCCACATAGTGTCTTCTACATTTCATTGTTTCAATGGGTCAACCTATATTCTTATTTCAGCATTTTGTTATTTCCCTTCCCCTCCCCAAATTAGAAAAATGTATATACAAGATGCAGGACACTGACATCAAAAACCAACCCAGATGCCCCTCAATAGATGAATGGATCAACAAAACGTGGTATATTCATACAGTGGAATTCTATGCCTCCCTCAGAAAGAATGGCATCGCCCCATTTGTTAGGAAATGGAAAGTCTTGGAAAAAATTATATTAAGTGAAGTAAGCCAGGCCCAGAGAAACCTAGGTCCTATGGTTGCCCTTATTTGCAATAACTAGTATAAGTCTAGGACCTGCAGAAAAGGTCAAAAGCTATGTACATATGACCATATAAGATGATGTTAAGTGAAATGAACCCCAACATTGGGACACGAGTGGTTTTTTTCTTTCTTGCTATTGTTTTTAAAATATTTAAAATGTACTGTGTGATTTTTTTTGTTTCTCTTGTATGTTCTTCCCCCACAGAATAACTCCAGTTTTCACTGTAAAGTGTTTTATCACAACATTTCCATAATAGCATACAGTGTACTACATATTTATTCCCCCACTTCTACCTTTTACTTTCTTCCTACCTCCTCCTTTTCACATTCCACTGCCCTGGTTATCCCTGCTCTGTTTTCATGACCTTGGGAGAGGGAGTTGCATTTTGTGTTACTTGTTTTCTTCTTAATAGCCATTCAGACTTGGGGTAGAGATGGAAGAATCTCATTGTAGTTTTGACTTGCATTCCCCTGATACTTAAGGATATTGGTCACTTTTTATATGTTTATCAGCTATTTATACTTCTTCACTTGAAAAGTGTTCCGTTCATGTCCCCATTTATTGATGGGATTATTTATTATTTTGGTGTATACTTCATGCATTCTTCATATATTTTGGATGAAGTTCATTGTCAGATGCAAAATAATAATATACTGAATAATAGATATAATGACTAATAACACTATAATGATTAATAATGAATAATAATCGGTGAATATTTTCTTCCCTTCTATATTCTGTGTCCTCACTGTTGAATGCTTGTTTTTCTGTGCAGAAACTTTGAAATGTGATAATGTCCCATCTGTCATAACTCTTACCTTTTCAGCTACTGGAGCTCTGTTCAGAAAGTCACTACCTATGCCCAGTGAAGCATTTCCTGAGATTTTTTCCTCAAGTAGTTTCAAAGTTTCAGGTTTTATTTTAGGTCTTCATTAATTATGAGTTTTATTAATTATATTTTTGTAGACAGTAAGAGATATGGATCATGTCAGTCTTCTACAAGTAGATATCCCATGCCCCAAGTATCACTTCCTACAAAGAATATTTTTTCCTCCAGTGTTACGGATTTGGTAACTTTTTGAAGAACCAGGTGGCCACCTGCTTGAGCTCATTTCTGGATCACTTATGCTGGTTTATTGGTCTGTGTGCCTGCTTTTGTGTTAGTACCATGTTGTTTTGTAACTAGTGGCTCTATCATATAGTGTACATCAGGCATTAAGATAGTTTTTGCATGTTTTTGTTCGGTATTGCTTCACCTGCTTGAAGCCTTTAGTACTGTTTGGGAACTTTTTGTGCTTTTGTTAATTTGTTTCATATAGCATCTTACTATGTATTTCTAGAGGCTTGCCTCAAATCCTCAGTCTCTCTTGAGTGCTGGGATTACAGGTGTAATCCACAATGCTATACTTGAGCAGTTCACTTTTGCTTTTTGTGGGATTTTTTGTTGTTGTTCTTTGGTTGAGGGTTTTTTTTTTTCAGTTGTGGGGCTGAACTCTGGGCCTGGTCGCTGTCCCTCAGCTCTTTGGCTCACGTCTAACACTCTACCACTTGAGCCACAGCACCACTTCTGGTTTTCTGAGTGGTTTATTGGAGATAAAAGTCTTATGGACTTTCCTGCTGGCTGGCTTTGAACTGCAATGCTCAGGTATCAGCCTTCTTAGTAGCTAGGATTACAGACATGAGCCAGGAGCACCCAGCTCGAGTCACTTTTTAGACACATGTAGTGACTTACTTTCTTATTTTTCCTAGAGAGAATAGCATTAACATTTCCTGCTTTGGGTCAGACATTCTAAGCTACTTAAGACATGCATTGAAGTTTACTAATTTTCTTTTTATTCATTTATTTACTTTTTTATTTTTGTCAGGACCTGGGTACAGTCCCAGAGCTTCTTTCACTCAAGGCTAGCTCTCTACACTTGAGCCACAGCACCACTTCCAGCATTTTGGGTAATTAATTGGTGATAAGAGTCTCACAGACTTTCTTTCCCCAATTAGCTTCAAACCATGATCTCAGATCTCACCCCCTCTTGAGTAGCTAGGATTACGGTCATGAGCCACCAGCACCCAGCTAACTAATTTTAGATAGTAGACAATAGATTGGATATTAAAGCATGATTTTTCAGAGTGGAAAAGAATCACTGGGAAATGTAGACAGCTAATGATAACTGCAGGTTAGAAATCATTTAGAACTGCTGTCTGCTAGAGATTTAGATAACAGCAAAAAACGGCATCAAGTCTACCAAGGGAAGTTCACTTTCAAGAAGCTGTTAACAAGATCCATCAGGCCAAATGCTCACAAGGAGAATAAAATCATATTGGATGAATAAAGGAGAACCTGATGATGAAAGACTTGAAACTGTATACTCCAGGCATTGGATTTAATCAAGCTTTGTCCCTTGGATTCTCACTGGATTCTCTTTTGACTCATGTCATGAAGAGTTGGAGAAAGATTGTGGGAATGGAGATTGGTAGGTATGGCATACCAGAAGTATCTCCACTCCAAGTAATTCTCAAACTTGAGGCAGCAGAGACCTTTGTAGATTTAGCCGTGGACCATGTTAAGTTCAGCTCCAGACACATCGGTTTTGCTTGTCTTAAGAAGGTGGATTCAAACACCCTTTGACTCATTTTCTAATCCAATTTTGTTTTCAGAAGTACCTGGAAGTGCCCAGCATTTTTATACCTCCTGTATAAATACAAATTTATAAGAGAAATGAGGGGAAATTATTTTTTGGAGACTTTTCATCCCAAGAAATACACAGTATGCTTTGTCAGTGACTCCCGGCTGGAGAGATTCCTATGACTTACCCCTCTAAAGATATGCTCCCAGTTTTTATTCGTGCGTTGGAAGAAAACTTTGCAAATGTCAATAGTTACACTGGGTCCTTTTAAAATAAATACTTTTATTTGAAAAACTTAAGTTTCAAAAATAAGAAATGCTTTAGACTCTATCAATCCTACAATTACTTCAATGTACCTTCTTGAATTCTATGCCAGTTTATATAATACACAGCTTTTTCTCTTTCTCTTTCTTTTCATTTTTTTTTAACCATCTCAGGTTTCTTACTAGATCCTCTTAGATCGAAAGTCTTGTTGGTACAAGTTCAACAGTGATTCATCTGAATGTTCCAGAGTCTCCTTTTTAGTTGCCAGTTACAAGGACAGCCTGATTATTTATTAGAACACATTGAGCTCTTTGATATATTTTAAGCTTATTTCTTCTCCTGATGAAGTCTCCAATTACTTTTAGTCCTGTCTCTACCCTCATCACCCTACAGCCTACAGACTAGCTCTTTCACAATTATTTTTTGAAAGTTGCTTTTAATTTGTCCTTGTTATATGCCTTTTATATCAAACTCCTTCATAAGTGACTAATTATCATAATAAAGTTGTTTAGGTATCATGATAACTATGATCTTTTGCAAAGTTCTAACCTACTCTCTTCCATTTTCTACTTACTTCTTTTCGGCTTGAGGATTTTTACTCTAATGGAAACAGTCATCATCACCTAACCAAAAGTGGCACATTCCCAATAGATTGGCTTCTGTATCTGGAAAAAAATACAGACAGAAAGATCGATATTGAATAAGAGAAACTGGTCTCCACTAGTTTGGTATTCTGGAAAGTTTTTCTTATTTCGTTATTTAGGGACACCACACAAATGTTTTCCTTTCAGGTTCTTCATTTCATAGTGACTCTGGCTCTGACTGGCACAAATCTGTTTTCCTAGGTTTCGCCGGCACACCTGGATACCTGTCCCCAGAAGTTTTACGCAAAGACCCTTATGGAAAGCCAGTGGATATGTGGGCATGTGGTAAGAAACCATAGTTTCAAGTAAATTTTCTCTAACACTTCAAGGATATATTCCACTGAGCTAGGATGAAAAACATAAATAAATAAAATAACCAAAATCTGAATAACTTCAACATTTTAAAAAGTATTTCTCACAGTTCTAGACTAGGAGGTCCAAGGTTAAAAAGTTGGCAGACTGGGCCTTGTGAGGACCTGCCTTCTGGTTCATAAATGGTCACCTTCCCTTCGGGTCTTCACATGGTAGAAGGGACAAGGAGCTTTGCATGGTCTCTTTCATGGGATACAATTCCATTCAAAGAGTCTCTAGCCGAGAAGAGCCCCTACCTCCGGGGCTATCATAGTGCAGGTCAGGATTTCAGCCAGGAATTGGAGAGAACACAAATACTCCTTCTACAACCATCCGTATTGTTACAACGTAAAGTGGGATTGTTTTCATGAGCATGGCATGAATTAGAATGAAAGAATGTAAGCCTTTAATAAATACAAGTTATTTATGATACTGAACTATAGTGAATAGCTAATGAATAGATTTAGGCCTGTAATGAATAAGTTATTTTGCATTTGCCCTACAGTTTCATCTTCTATAGAAGATAAATAATGATTTTGTACTTATATAAGATATTATGGTGAGGATTAAAATTTTTAATAATTAGGATACTGTATTATATAACAAGTATTTAGTCAATGTTTGTATTATTAATAGAAATTCAGTGTCACTTAGCGTTAACAGTATGGTAACATTCCCAACATCATTTTAAAGGAAAGAAATATATGTTTCTATTTGTGATATTATCTCCTTACTTTTAAATAAAAGACCACAAATATCTAAAAGTAAAATAAGTCAGTTTCTTTTACTTGATGTTCCCTACTGATCACCTCAGAAATTCTAGAAGAAATTCTCAAACGTTAGCCTATTGTATAATCTTTTTACAAAACAATGTTTGCTTTAACCAGCAATCTTGTGTTTTTGATTCAGTAGATGTGGAGTGGAACATTTATTTTTATTTATTTATTCATTGGTAGTCATGGGACTTGAACTCTGGGACTGGGCGCTGTCCCTCAGCTCTTCAGCTCAAGGCGAGCGCTCTACCACTTGAGCCACAGCACCACTTTGTTTTTCTGGTGGCTTATTGGAGATAAGAGTCTCACGGACTTTCCTGCCTGGGCTGAGTTTGAACCATGATCCTCAGATCTCAGCTTGCTGAGTAGCTAGGATTACAGGCATGAGCCACCAGTGCCCGTCTATTCATTTATTTTTATGCCCATCCTGGGGTTGAACACAGGGCCCAGATGCTGTCCCTGAGCTTCTCTTACTCCAGGCTGACACTCTACCCCTTGAGCAACAAGTGATAGCTTTTTTAAAAAGTAGTTTATTGGACATAAGAGTCTCCTGGACTTTCTTGTCCAGAGATGACTTCAAACTGCAGTCCTCAGATCTTCTGAATAGATAGGATTACAGACGTGAACCAACAGCACCCAGCAATATTTCTTGGCACCAGTTTGAAATGTGGGATGTGGTAGAGTTCATAGTGATGATAAGTTCCTACTTCTGTCCCCTAACAGCTCCACCCACCCTTCCAGTAAATTTTGTATGAAACCAAGATGCCTCCCAAATGACAGTTAGGGAAATAAATTGATTAGCCTATAAGGACTAAGCTCTGGTTGAAGGCTTTCTCAGCCAACTCTAATCAAATAAAGTCCCAAGGACAAGGACAAAATGGAGAGGATTTTAATATCACATCTTATAATGATATTTCTCCATTTCAACATATAGGTCAGAGGCTGGAATACAGGGGAGGCTGAGAGATACTCTGGAATCACTTCTCTCCTAAGATTATCAACATCAATTAGTTTTCTGGGTTTTGACAGTATCATTCCCACTAGTCTATAAATAAGTGTTTGACTCCCATAATTTGGCTTTAGTGTACTGGCAACAGCTTTCACTCCTCAGTGCTCATCAGCCTGAGAGGTGTTAACTAAAACTTTTATTTAAATGTTATCAGAATAATGTTTTAGATTTGGCTGTAATTTTTTGAAAGAGTAAATACATCTCTCAACACTGTGCCATAATGATAGATTACTGTACAGTATATTTCTTTGTGTCCTTAGCAATACCAAGGTTGATATTTAATCTTGAATTGGATTGAATCCTGGGCCTTCAGAGTTTCCCCCATGCCTACAGAGGCAGGTATAATCAGGGAACTGTATTTTTAGTCATGATACTTGGTTTCAAATATTTTTAATAACTCTGTGTCTGTAGTATCTCAGAGTTGATTTCTTTCCTATAAAATAAGAATGCATTTCCTTCATGCAACTGAGAGTGTCAACTTTTTCCTAAGGGAAAACATTTTGTAGCAAATAAAAAGGACTTAAAATGTAAACAGCCATTGTCATTCTAAAACATTGAAAATGACACTTGGTTGACGGCAAAGGTCTGAGACAAACAAGTCCAAGTCTGTCTTTCTCCCCTCCACTTAGGCCTCACTATGCTCTAGGATCAACTCCAAAATGCCTTTGAGTTTGAGCATTGCTCCAGAATGTTCCTGTCCAAATCTAAATGCTAATGGTGAATAGCTCGAATACTTCCCTTGCAGTAAATTAGTTCCCAGTGCAGATCTGTCTCTGCTGATCAACTTGGAAAGCCTTAGTAGGGCCTGAGTCTGGCAGACACTGACAGACAATGTGCAAGATATACAGTCACATTCTTAAAGGCTTTAAAAAAAATGATAAGGCCATATTTTTTGTGAAATATGGTAGCCTCTGGAGGTAAGATATTGTGTTTGGACCTTAACAACCTAGAAAGACAGACAGAATGGGGTACTCTGGGCAGTAATGAGGCTGTGAGGACTGGCACAGTGGGCATATTGTGGTCTTTCTTTGCCTGCATTGACAGAGGTTGTCTGACATTTTTCTTAATCACGCCTCCTGTTTGTAGATTTCTCCCGATTTTCTCCTTCTGTTTTCTTCGTCCTTTCTATCCGCTGCTTAGGTAGGAAGCTGTTTGTATAGGGGTTAGTGGACACATGCAGCTGCTCGGGTTACTTGCTGTATGACAGAGCATGACTTATTTAGTTTCTGGATCTCAGCCTCTTCTTGTAAATGGAAATAATCATAGTGCTAGCCTCATAGCTTCCCCAAAGAGTTTTTTTAATGCTATAATTGTTAGTTATAATTGCCATTATTATGAGAAAGTGTTTCTTTAGAAGCGAAGTTACCAGAAAACTCATTAGAGCCTTACTTTAGACTTAAAAAAATTAATAAGCAACTAGTATTAACAGTATGAGAGTTAAATACTATGAAGCTCCATTCAGTGGATTATCTGAATATTAGATTTCTCTTTCTCTTTTGTCCCTCTGCCTCTCCCTCACCCTTTCTCTCTGGCACGCTCTATTTTTTAACTTTCACTTTTCATTATTTTATTTTTCTTGTTTTATAAAACATTTTCTTGTGGCTACATTTCACAGTTCTTTACTAGCATTTTATCGGGTCCAAAAATGTAAATAAATAATTTGCTTCTTACACCAAAAATCTTTTTTTTAATATTGTGTACATTTTGTTGGTGATGAGTAATATCAGACCCATTGAAAAGAAATCAAAACAACTCACATGTACACTCTCTTACACACATTCTCTTGCACACATTGCCTCATATATACAGCCACATGCACACACATATTCTTAGATACAAATACACACTCTTACGTATACACACACATACTCCTTCACATCTCTCTCTCTCTCTCTCTCTCTCTCTCTCTCTCTCTCTCTCTCTCTCTCTTTCTCACACACACACACACACACACACGGGTCTTATGAATTTATGAATGACTTCAGAACTTACGGAGGGCAATTCAGGGGTTCAAGCCTAATTTGCGGTGGTCTTTCACTGTGCCCTATTCTGTCCTTTGCTTTCTTCACACGATGTTCTGTACACAGCCACATTTCTTTGTGATAAACCAAGCCCCAGTTAAAATATGTGTTTATGGCCAGCTTCTATTTTCTTTTCTTTCTTTTTGGTGGGGGGGGGAAGGGGGGATCTAAGATCTGGACTCAGATTTGGTACCTGGTGCCTCCACTTATCAGCTAGGGCTCTGCCAACTGAGCCATGCCTCCAATCCTCATTTTATTGAGAGGTGGTGAGTATCCTTTAGTCATGTTTCTAGAAATGCCTTGCAATTTGATAGCTCAAGGTGATACTCTTGATTAGATGCTGTAATGTCACATATTTGAGGAAAATGCCAATTACTGTTAACATCATAGTAAACTTTTTGGTTACACTTGTAAGTCACTGCTATTGGCCTAGAATTACTGTTTTCCCCATGTTAACTTTTTTCCTTCAGGTACCATGAAAGGTACATCACACACATTTTACATATAAGGTGATGTATTCTCACGCATCACTGTTTAATAAATATATTTGCTGGTTGCATTTAGATTATGGTATATATTGAGGTCACTGCTTTTTATGCTACCAGTCAGCAAGTTCTGACTAGGTTAGCTCTTCTGGGTTGTGTAGCTCTTTAGAATTCTTTGGCCCATGTAGTGGTGTAACCCAATGTCAGAGCGCTTTATCATAGCAGAGGAAGCCTTCACCCTCCACAATGCACAGGGCTTGAGAACAGCTATCATCATCATCATCATCCTCATCATCCTCATCATCCTCATCATCCTCATCATCCTCATCATCCTCATCATCCTCATCATCCTCTCTCTCTCTCTCTCTCAAATTTTCTGCAATGTACTTCCCTTTGTTTCAAAGGGTGCAGCTTAGTAGCATTGTATCTGACTTACATTCTGTTCTTATGCTAATTTCTTCCAGGTGTCATTCTCTACATTCTGCTGGTGGGGTATCCACCCTTCTGGGATGAAGACCAACACAGACTCTATCAGCAGATCAAGGCTGGAGCTTATGATGTATGTAATAAGCATTCATAGCAGTTCAGATACCATATTTACAAATTAATTCAGTTTTTGTCTATTGATGAAGAACTGCACTTTTTATTGTCTGCCTAGCCATAATTTTTAAGAGTTTTCCTTATTATTTTTCTTCTGTCCCATTAAAAAAGGGAGATAAACAATAAGAAATAATGCTGAGTATCATAGTGTATGCTTGTAATTCTAACTTCAGGTGGCTATCGCAGGAAAATGGAGAGTTTGTGCCTAGCCCAAGCTGTGTAGCAGGATCTTGTCTTTTAAAACTTCATATAAACAGCTGGGTGCTGGTGACTCATGCCTCAGGCTGAGGTCTGAGGATTATAGTTCAAAGCCAGCCTGGGCAAGAAAGTTTGTGAGACTCTTATCTCCAACAAACCACCAGAAAAATGGAAGTGGTACTGTGGCTCCAGTGGTTGAGCATTTGCCTTGAGCTGAAGAGCTCAAGGACATCACCCAGGTCCAGAGTTCAAGTCCCATGACCAACAAAAATAAAAACAAAAACAAAACCACTTAGGTCACATGCTGCCTTTGTTTTTATTTTTTTTATTGTAAAGATACTGTAGAGAGGGGTTACAGTTACATGAGTAAGGTAATGAGTACATTTCCTATGGAACAGGAACATTATTACCCCTCCTTTGTTTTTCCCTCTACCATCCTTTCCCTCCTCATCTCCCTAATACCTCCCTCAACCCCCATAACCCCGGGAAGTTGTAAAGTTCATTTTCAACATAGTATCTTGTATGTCTCATTGTTACCATGGGTCAACCTGTACCCTGGTTTCAGTGTTTTGTTATTTCCCTTCCCCTCCCCAATTTAGAAAAATGTATATACAAGATGCAAAGCACCAGAATCAAATACAGTGACAACAGGGGTTATACCATGGGGGAAGAACATACAAAAAAACAAAAAAACAATAGTACATTAAAAACAACACCAACAAAGAAAAAATCCTCTTGTGTCCACTACACATAGAGCTCCCCTATGGCCCAGCAATCCCACTTTTGGGCATTTACCCAAATGACCACAAACAAGGCCATACTAAAGCTACCAGTACAACTATATTTATCGCAGCATAATTCACCATAGCTAAGATGTGGAACCAACCCAATGCCCCTCAGTAGGTGAATGGATCAAGAAAATGTCGTATGTATATGTGTATATATATATACACATATATATATATGTACATATATATGTATATACATATATATGTACATATATATATATATATGTACACAATGGAATTCTATGCCACCATGAGAAAGAATGATACCACCCCATTTGTAGGAAATGGAAAGACTTGGAAAAATTATATTAAGTAAAGTAAGCCAGACCCAAAGAAACATAGATCCCATGGTTTCCCTTATTTGCAATAACTAATATATTTCTAGCATAATCTTACCAGACAAGTAGAAAAGGTCAAAAGCTAAGTACATATGACCATATAAGATGATGCTAAGTGAAATGAACCCACAGATATGGACACAAGAGGTTTTTTCTTTGCCTTTTCTGGAAGTACTAAAAGTATACTAACTAAAGTCCACCACACAGTAACAATAATTTTGTATTACATGATTATTAAAAAAGCTGAAACCAGGAAAAGAACTCTACATCCTGTCATTAAGATACAACTAAGATACATTTCTCTTAACTGAGGAAGAGCATTATTCCTAGTATGCTAATATTCTAATTACATGCAAAGAAAGTTAAATGATTACCAACACAAAAAATGAAGTGGATAAATACTTCATTGAATGAAGGTTAACATAAGATGGAAATTCTGAGATTCGGTTACTGAAATTGGTAACTTTTCTTCAGGTTCTAATCTGAAGTCCTGCTGATGCTTTTGTAGTGTCAGATTTCTTCTTACTGTGGCCTTGTAAGCAGCCACAATTAATCCATCATTTTTGGTCTAGGAATTAAAGCTGTTTTCTTACTTCTGCTATTACTGCTCATGACTTCTGAAAGGTCATAATTTTCACATGGCAAACATTGACGAAGTGGTAGGATGGCATTGACGCATAGTTTAGACTGACTGCTTTTGCTGGGATTGCAAATCATTATGCAGGTAGATTTCATATATGCTCAGTTTCAGATCAAAGGAATAATATTTGGGAAGAACAGAAGATTCTTGTTAACTTTTCTAAATTTTATTTACTTTTTTGTGGGGGGGAGGTCCGGTCGTGGGGCCTGAACTCTGGGCCTGGGCACTGTCCCTCAGCTCTTCAGCTCAAGGCTAGCGCTCTACCACTTGAGCCACAGCCCCACTTCCAGCTTTTTTCTTTTGGCTTATGTTGTGCTGAGGAATTGAACCCAGGGCCTCGAGCATGCAAGGCAATCACTCTACCACTAAGCCACCTTCCCAGCCGACTTTTCTAAAGTTTAAAATGCATTGACTATATATAAAATGAAATTTAGGCTATAGATATATATAGGTTTCTTTTTCATTTCTCTTTAAAACTGTATGTAGTTTTTTTTCCCTGTATATAGTTTTATACCATAGCGGCTATATATTTGTCTAGACAAATCTATCTAGATATTTATCTATTTTCTCTAGAGATAAATTTATTCATCCACATCTAGATCAATTAATTGATCTAGATACACTCCTCTATTTTAAATGTAATAATTTAATTTATACAGTTGATTACTTGCAGAAATGATGAATATATTTGGCTCTTCCCTATTTGGCTGAGTGTATCTTTTCAAAAAGAAAAAAAAAACCTCTTTACAAATTTATATCTTTGAAGTTTCCATCACCAGAATGGGACACGGTGACTCCTGAAGCTAAAGACCTCATTAACAAAATGCTTACCATCAACCCTGCCAAACGGATCACAGCTTCTGAAGCACTGAAACATCCATGGATCTGTGTAAGTACCAGCCCAACACCTGGAACTGAAGGAACCTCTTGTCTGTTTTTTCAATGGATTTAAAATAATATTACTGAAAAAAGATGCACCTAAAAAGGTATGCATTTTTCATCCAAGAGATTGAACAAAATGAATTTCATGAGAGCAAAACAACCACATCATTTCCAGTTAAGAATGTCTGATTTGTGCAAATAACTAAGTAAAACTTGTCCCAGGACACAAGGAATGAGTATGCATTATTCCAATGATTGACAAGACTCACTGAGGTTAAAGAAAATAACAAGTTTTTATTGCAATCCAAAAAAGAGAAAAATCAGACTAAGTTCAATTACTCGTTATTTAGCAGCTTCAGACACATGCATGAATTTTAAAATCTTGGATTAAAGGTTTAGTTGCATAAAAGGACAGCTAGAGATGTCTGAATATACTAAGAAGCACTAAGAAATAGCAATGGAAACTTAGGGGGAATCTAAAACCTGCAGTAAGTTTCTGAGGGTAAATGTCACATGTCAGAACAATAAATACAGTACCAAGTAAATGAAAGGCAGTGCCGTAAAAATGTGCTAAAATACATATTGACACAGATAAATTAAGAAACTAGTGAAATTATTTTATACTTTCAATATGTAAATATTTTAGTTTAGTCGCTAATAGCTTTGACAAAGTCATTCTTTTCATTTTAGGTAATTTTGTTCAATGGCTATTTATGACTTAGGTCATTGGATCATAGGCATGGATACACTAGCAACAAAGATTTAGTGAAGTTGTGAATGCTATTTATTATACTCCATGTGCTTTAACTCTCCCCCTTTTCTTCTCTCCATCCAGCAACGTTCTACTGTTGCTTCCATGATGCACAGACAGGAGACTGTAGACTGCCTGAAGAAATTTAATGCAAGACGAAAACTAAAGGTAAGGAATATATACACTGTTGTGAGGAGGGGACAAGTGTACTTCTAATGGAGAAAAAATAACTTTCAGCAAGAACTTTTCACATGTAAGAGGTTGACATTCATATTCCTTTCCTGGGTCTTGGGGACATGAATATTCCATCAGAATCAAATCATAGGATGATTTGATGTGTGCTGTGACTGCTTCCTTCACGTGGAAAACAGCTAGGCAAGTTGATCATCTAAAGCTGGCTCCCAGAATCCTGGGAGCCACAGGACTTCCAGGAAACTAAAGGAAAAACCAAAACCAAAAATCAAACAATCAAAGTTCCCTTAACTGAAAAATACAACCGGAAGATTCATTATCCAAGACTCTATGTTTGTTGGGTCAGAGATGTGCAGGGGCAGCATTGACTTCTGTCTTATTTCTGTCATAGGGTGCCATCTTGACAACTATGCTGGCTACAAGGAATTTTTCAGGTACATGCATTAAGAACTATAATCCTTTGCCTCCCTCCCACTCTGTCTCTCTGTCTCTGTCTCTGTCTCTGTCTCTCTCTCTCCCCCCCCCCTTTCCCCTCCCTCTCTCCCTCCCCACCCCCCCCTCTTTCTCATTTCCAGAAATCAAAATATCTCAGTGGTGTTTTCTTTTAGCCAGATATTCTTGGGCTCTCAGTTTAGTCATGCTTACTTGTTCTGGTCCAAAAAAGAAACCTTTCTTCCCAAAGGATTGTTACCTGTGAACGTTTGTGTGCCCAGTAGTATGGTTCCCTACCTTTACTAATAATAGTTCAATTTCTTTTCATTGGGAGCCCTCCCTTGAGTTGCATGATTTCATAGTGGTGGAAGTCACTGAAATCTGGTTTGGAATTCAAATCTTGATTTCTCATACCTTTAACTGACCTTGATTCAGCCTTGGACCAAGACATTTGACTTTGGGAACAATGGGGGAGAATAATGGAAATGGTGCAATAAAGTGCAACTTAGTCAATCAAGATGCATTCATTGACATGTTGAAACTCCTTTGTTCAGCTATTTACATACACATACACACGCACACACACAGATATATATATATATATATATATATATATATATATATATATTTTTTTTTTTTTTTTTTTTGTCTGTCGTGGGGCCTGAACTCTGGGCCTGGGCGCTGTCCCTCAGCTCTTCAGCTCAAGGCTAGAGCTCTACTTCGGGGGGCCTGAACCCTGGGCCCGGGCGCTGTCCCCCCGCTTTTCAGCCCAAGGCTAGAGCTCTACTACTTGAGCAGCAGCGCCAGTTTCCAGTTTCCTGGTGGTTTATTGGAGATAAGAGTCTCACAGAGTTTCCTGCCCGGGCTGGCTTTGAACCACAATCCTCAGATCTCAACCTCCTGAATAGCTAGGATTACAGGTGTGAGCCACCGATTCCTGGCAATTTTTTTAAAAAGAAATCAAAGTATCTACTAATTAGGAAAACTTGGCTGTTCAGAAATAGCAAATGTGAGCCCTACATTCCCTCCACACTTGTGGCTGCCATCATCCTGTCTGCCACAGAGCATCATGGGACTGTGGTCCTCACAGGAGCAGCTCTGTCCAATAGTCAGTACTAACAATGAATAGAACTGTCCAGTGTTGGAGCACGCAAGTTGTAGAGATGTGTATTCACTCAAGAGTTCAATGTGTAGAATTTGTGATGTATTAATTGATCATTTCATGAGGTAGTAACTATGAATAAGGTTTCTCATTCTCACTGGGAATTCTAATAAGTAAATGCTTTTTAAAAAAGAATACAGTTACTGGCCAATCTGGTTTTCTTTGACCTAAGTTCTTTCAAAAGTACAATAATATTCTGACACACAAGGCTAATCACAATTGCTTCAAGATATCTAACCAAAAATATCAACTCAAGAACTTACAGAGAACATAACGTGGGGATACTATAAGGATAATTCATGTTCTTGAAAATAATTCTATGGTTAGGAATACTCATTGTTATGTTTATAATTAAAATAATAATAATGTTTGTTAAATATGGGCAACCTGAAACCTCTTTGTTAGATTATCTCAAAACATATGATTTCCAAAAACACAAATTTTGAGCAATACTAATCAGTCATGTGAAGGGAAGAACTGGAGCTGTACTAGGTAAGCTTTTAATTTAGACATTTCAGTTTAGTACAGTTGTCAGAAGTTAGTGCTAACTAAACTACCATTTCAGTTAGCACGCTGTCTATGTATTAGAGACCTGCAGTGCCAGCTGTTTCTTTCATTGTTTTTATTTTACCTGGCATGGATGTTACTGTGTTATCATTATCAGGTGGAAAAATTTTACTGTATTATTATTATTAGGTGTAACAAGTAGCCGAACCCTTTCCCTTCACCTAGAGAATTGGAAGCCAAAGGCTGTTGAACAACTACAACACAAATAGTAATGCACCAAAACAATACTACACATTGAGAGACTGTTGTCAGTTATATAGAGTCTGTCCAATTTGTGTGGTGTCGTAAAAATTTGTTGCCTCTTGTCAAGTTGCCTGTTTTATAAACATTTCATTGATGTGATTGACATTTATATGGGTGAATTTAATACCATCTCATTAAGTATTGATTAATATAGGTTAAAGAAGTATTGCACTGTGATCCCTTAATTAGTAAGTCACCAAAAGGTGGAATGAATTATACAGTATATGCTGTTACTAGCAAACTTACATTTTTAAAAAATCTCCAGAAGTAAAAATGTATATTTTATTGAAATGTTAAATATACTCTTGGGCATGAATTGGGCCTTTATTAAGTAATGTTCGCATCCACTTATAGAAGCTTTTTTTTTTAGGTTCCTCTCCATCATCTTATAAACCAAAAACTCATGACTAATAAGTGGATTTTATACTGTTTCTGAATGTTATCTTAGCATGAAAACAAACTTCTGATATCCATCACTAAAAACAAAAAATTCAGCTGAATAACACTGGACTCATATAACTTCGTTACATCTTATACTGATATTGCATTTTAATTTTGAGTATTTCATTCATTCTGTTTCATTGCCAAACATGCTCTTTGATCTGTCCATAAGTATATGGTGATAAAGCTCTTTTTTATTTTCTTTCTTTTCTCTCTGTATGTGGAATGTATTTCTTGTGAGGTAAGGTGATAGAAAGCACAAGGCACATTTCTGCACCTCCCAGGCCAAATCGCTGCTTACCCTGAATCATTGTCTTTATGCTTGCCATTGCAATTCCAATTATTCTGAGTTTGCTTTCTAACCTACTAACTGCCACGGGATTTCTTAAACATTGTATTTGAGCTCCAGGAAAACAAGATGTAAAGTTAAGGCAACTATTTCTTAGCAATTTCAATTGATAGTAAATTAATAGCTTTGCTGCTAATAACTGTGGATAAAATTTTAAATTATTCCAGATCTAATGACTTAAATCAAGGAAATATCAGGAAATGACATGCTCATGCTGTTTTATTATAGCTATCTATTTCCATTTCAGATGCCAAATTCCATTTTGACATGCTTAAATAATTATACATAATTAACATTAAGTGGAAATGTGTACTTCGTTCCTCACATGTGTAAATGCTCTACAGTTGTATACAAATTGTTCTTGACAGTTACATTATCAGTTAATGGGTATATCTATGTACCTGTTATCAGGACATTTTGGAAAAGATGACCTCACCTTTTACTATATTCAAGAAGTTCAATTATAATAGCAATAATGAAGGCTTCCTTCAAGAAAAATGAAGTCTGGTAGATGACCACATATTCTAGAATTTTCTTCTATCTTGTATCAAACTTTACAGCTTTTCATTTTAAAATGGTATTGTTTGGGAAGCCTTTGTATTCTGATTTTGAAATGTCAAAGAATACATGTCATTTTTTAAAATCATATGCTTAGCATTTAAAAAAATTCGCTCCAGGTCATTTTAGATAGTTGTTAAAATTTTCTAAAGCTGAAAATGATCTGATTTCAAAAATCCCAGGATGTTTGGCCTGAGCAAATTTTTACAAATGAGTTTACGTCTCTGGCAAGAAGGGCTTCAGTGGCAGAACTGACTTGAGTGCCATACTTGTGGTGTGAATGGACACATGATACAATCTGTCCGCTGATGTCTAAAGATTGATTACCAACTTTCTGGATTGCAAAAGCATAGTCCAGTTAAAGTTCCAGTATCCTTTTCGCAACCTCCAGTAAAACAAAGTCCAGTAACACAACTTGGCAACGTATGCAATTTCATGTAATCACCTACAGAAGAATTGAGTTTGGAATCTGTGGTGGTAAAATCCAGAAAAGTGATACTGTATCTCAATGTCTGTAAGCTCGCGCTCATCAATGTAACCTTGACTTGGCATTTGTTGACCATAACCCAATAGACATGGCAGGAGATAATGTCTTAGCAGCAACCTAACTTTGGGTCTGTATGAGTATCTCATTAAATTGGTTTTATTCTCATTTTACAGCAGCCAAGAGTTTGTTGAAAAAACCAGATGGAGTGAAGGTAAGTTACATGGATGCTCTTGAAGCATTTTTTTTCTTAATTTTAGATGTTGGACAATTTTATATTATTGAAATATAAGTCCCAGGTTTTGACACCTTGTATTTTTTAAGGATGAAGCCTGAAATATAAAATAATTTAATGGTTTAATAAAAAGTTTTATCTTTCTATTTTATTATATATTAAGTGATAATGAAAATTATACTATTATATAGAGTTCCTATAGAAACTAATTCTAAATCCTCTCTGCAGAAACCATGTTCTTTTCCAAGTAATTTTAATGTGTCCTTAAATGTCACCAAAAACTAGGTAATATCTTTTAGACAGTCTGGAAAATTGGATGTCCTATGACCAAATTTCTCTGCTTAAGAAGTTTTTTTTTGAAGATCTTAACTGTTCTTATGTTTCTATTATAAGGTTTGCAGATGTATTCCAGGTACAGAGTGTGAACAAATGATAGAAACCCCTCCAAGAAAGATGGCACAATATTTTGACTTTCTTGGATTTCTAGTCATAGTAATACCATTATTTGCTATAGGTTATATTTTATTTCAAAGGAATGTATGTTTTAGTAAAAAAAGTAACCTTAATATCTGCATAATCATATTTGTTATCTTTCCACAGTCTCACCTAAATGTTTTAATTTTTTAACCCTTTTCTTTCTCTTCCAATAGCAGATTGTACATATTCCTCATCCATGCTTCAGCATTGTTGGAAACTAATTCATGGTCTAATATTTTAATATGTGAACTTGACCCAAAGCGAAGCGGTCAGTTCATATAGAAAACTCTGACATGGCAAATCATTTGTCCCTCCTGTGTTCATGCCTAGCCATCTCTTCACCTCTTGTGTGTGCAACTGGGAATTTCCAGAGCCGTGGGGACCATTCACTTATGATTCCTGTTAGGATGATATTTCCCTTTGCCAGTTCTTCCCTGAACCTGTTATTGTACCTTCCACTTTCTTCATTCAGTTTAGATTGCAGTCATTTAGATTTCAATAATGATAGTCAATGTGCATATTATTCCCAGCACTTACATTGGTGAAAATGTAATACTTTGAAGTTGTCCAACTGTTTTCCCGTGGGATTTTCTATATCACTCAGAAACAGAAAGCTCAGGTTTCCTAGGAAATACTCATTTTCACTACTATCCTTTAACAGAATTGAATTTTTTTGAACTTTTTTCTCTCCTAGCTTTTTTCTCTCATTGGACAAAATTACTCTGTATTCCATATATTGGTACTTTAAATTCAACCGGTCATATTTTTTTTCTTTTCCTTTCTCTTTGACTGGTCAATTCAGAAAAGGAAGTCCAGTTCGAGTGTTCAGATGATGGTGAGGATCTCTCTCTCTCTGCCAGATTTCTCTTCCTGAAAAAAAATCACATTTAAGAATAAAACAGTCTTATTTACCTAATTTAGTGAGAATGGAGAAAGTAGCGTCATTCCTAGTCAGTATTATTCAACTAGCCAAACATAGAATCCCACCTTGACATGATACTGAGGTTTTATTGTTCCCTTCTGCTATTAAATTTTTTTAGATGTAAGAAGCTAATCCCTTATCCACAGGCTATTAATGAGTTTATCTTCTATAAGGACACAATTCAGATTTTTATCCTCAAAACTAAAGAGATCATGCCAATTATGTCATGCTTACTCAAAAGTGAAGAAATATTATAGGATTATCTTAAAACAATCATGCCTACTAAAATAGAAGAGTTTTTTTGTTCAAATAGACTGTGATATATTAACCTTGAAGTTTGTAAAATATGTGAAAGCAATCTTACAGTAGACCCATTCTAGCTAAACACTGTAAAGGAAGTATGAATTAACCTCGACGTTTATGAACTTCAATACTTCATATTTTGTCCTTGCCTTGTAAGAGTAATTCAATACATCATTTAAATATCTGAGTCTACTCCGATGTTTCTGCAAGAGCAAAACAAAAAACTCTCTTTCCATAATGTAAAAATAACTGCATTCATTTATATATATAAAAGACATAGTTATGGTTAAACCATTAAACCATTACTTGACATTTGACTCTTTGAAAGGAGGTTCTTCTAGCTTTTTAACTTAATTTTCTAATTATTGTTGAAATAATTCATATGATGAATACCTCCAAAGTTTTTCCCACAGTTTTTAAAAAAGATTATCAAGCTAAGTTTACATTAACAACAAAAAACATAAAAAAGATTTATATGCATATGTAAGCATGATTGAAAGTAGCTGTCATTTAACTCATATTTCCCATATAGGATGATAAAGAATTCTTTACCTGTATAGAATGGCTTTCATTTGGGAGAGAAAGAGTCAAGAGAGGGTACTCTGTGTGTGTGTGTGTGTGTGTGTGTGTGAGAGAGAGAGAGAGAGAGAGAGAGAGAGAGAGAGAGAGAAAGAGAGAGAGAGAGAGAGAAAGAGAGAGAATAGGGCTAAGTTTACAAAGGTGTACATTTGGAAAGTTTTCACTAAAATAATAAAAAGCAGTTATTAGCAAGCATACTCTAGAATGAAAGTCATCCACCTCAAAACAGTATTAAAATAAATCAGACTATTTTTCTTTCATTTGCTGATAGAAACTGGAGAGTATATTCAATACACGTGAACTTGAATCACTTGACAAGAAGCCAATTATATTTGTGTCTGCATCCCCTACATTTTTATCACGATTTTATACTAACATATATACATTGTGATCCCTGTATAACAGATTATATGACCTTTTATCTCTCACTGGCTGCTCACAAATTTTGTGTTAAATTCTGTGCACTCTGATTTAAACAAAAAGATTTTTTTTCTAAAACTACCTGCAAGTATAGAATAATGACTTAATAGTTAATAAAGTTTTATAATAAAAAAGCTTTCTCCTGCATGCCAGAGAGCACAGTGTTGCAGCTTATTAAAATAATACTGATTCCAATAACCCTCTAACTAATAAGGAACTGAAAAGCAAAACATGACATACTTATATTTATTTTTGGTGCCTTCTATCTTCCTATCAATGGTTATTTCAAAACTACCTATAGGCAGGCTGATGCCTATGTAATCCTAGCTAATCAGAAGTCTGAGATCTGGGGATTGAGGTTTGTAGCCAGCCCAAACTGAAAAAGCACATGAAACTCTTAGCTCCAATTAACTAACAAAACAACTGGAAGTGGAGCTGTGACTCAAGTAGTAAAACTTCAGCCCCAAGAGACTAAGCAAAGTGCCATCATCCAGGCCTGTAAGCCCCAATACCAGCACAAAAAAATAATTAATTAATTAATTAAGGCAAACTTAAAAACCAACCTATAGAAATACATTATATACTCTTCCAAAAAGCCCAAATGATTACTAGCGTAATCTCTTGTAAATATTCATTGATTTTATGCAGTATGTGTATAAGTACAGAAGTATATTTCTATTCATCTTAGAATTGTGGGGCACATTCTTTTGGATAATAATATGTGACAAAAATACTGAATGCTGACTTACATTTGTGTTTGGTAACATAATATGATGTGTCCTGCATGAGTTTAAAATAATGTTATTACTTTTTAAGTCTTTTATTCTTTAGTTCCTCAAGACATTAACAGTTCCAAGTTGCCACTTGTCTACAAAGCGTTTTCTCTGTGAGCCATTACACTATTCATTGATTCTCAAGTGTCTTTCTCAACATGGTGCCCATGGTGGGAAAGCTGTTTGTCTTCTTTAAAGGCAAATTCAATTGTGTATAACAATGGGGTGAAGGAATGATAGTACCAAACATACTCTTCTACAGTACTAATAATGCTTGGAGAGCAACCATAGTATTTTTGTCTTCAGTATTATGAAAAATGAAGTTTTTTGTCCTGAAGCATACAGTGAAGAATTTCATTTCCCATACATAATTGAAGATAACGTTTCTTAACAGAGACCCAAACTTGCCTTAAAAAAAAAACTATTTTGACACATTCTTTCAGAAAATCCAAGTTTTTAATTGGCTATCTAATGAACTAAGTAATGACAGCTCCCCAGAGATAGAGGGTTTATATGTGATTTCAGGCTCAGGAATAAAATAGAAAGGACAAAAAAAATGGAATGTGTTTATAACAGTGAACAATTGGAAGCTTGGAAATAAAGTCTTACTTGAGGAGTATGAAATGGCTGTAATTACCTCATACTCTAAGTCTTTCTTTGAGCCTCATTGAAGCTCTTCTTTGTCTGTTTGCTTACATAGCACAGGCAAAGCATCCATATATGTTATTTTATCACCATCCATCACAGGCAGGGTCCTAGCTCGTGTGTGACCTGCAGAGACTAACTGTGATCCTCATTCCTCTCAATCATCATTGTGTCTATCATATCCATCTTCAGTGGCTCTTTATTTTCATGTCTATATCTCCATGTAGACATGCTGCATATAGAGACATTGGCTATCAAGGGGCTCAAGGTGTCTCTGTTTCTATTTTCTGCATACCTACAGATAAACAACAAAGCCAACGTGGTAACCAGCCCCAAAGAAAATATTCCTACCCCGGCGCTGGTATACCTGGACTCTTTGTAACCCTTCTTAAGTTCTTGACTGTTTTCTGTTGTTCTCATTTGCTTTCACTATTTAGATACATAAGGACCAAATATTTCATTTTGTGATTGTTGAGTTTTGTTTATTTATTTTTGTTTTGCTTTCTAAGATATGAAAACAAATCCTTTCTCTCTTTTTCTTTTCTTTTTGTTAAGATAGCTGTCAAACAGTGTGTTTCTAACATGAGATTTTTCTCATTTCCTTGTTGAACATTGTACTGGTCTCTGTAGTTGAAATGGTTGCATGCTGCATTAGAAATACAGTAGAATGCGCTTTGGTTACTCTTAGCTCTGCCGATGATGATAGCTCTGCATCATGTAAATAATGATTTCTTCTGTTTGTGACATAAATGTTGGCATCAAGGAGAGCTAACAGGATGATTGCTAGACAACATAAAAAGTAGACCTTATTCAAAATTCCTATTTGCCTCAGCAAAAGACAACATGGCTTTGTAAGAATTCACATTTTCTGAGATAAAGAGGCACTGGATATTTTTTTTTAATTTGTGTTGTGTTTGGAATGAAATTTTCACTGTTTCACTATAATACAATGAATGAAGTCACATATCATAAAAGTCTGAATTATCAATGGAAACCAATTTTGTCGATTTTACTCAATCTACACAATTAATAACTAAGTCAAGGCAGGTGCTGGTGGCTCATGCCTTATAATCCTAGTTAGTCAGGAGCCTGAGATCTGAGGATCATGGTTTAAACCCAACTTGGACAGTAAAGAGCAAGTAAGCACCAAAAACAAAAGATAGCCAGAAGTGGATTTGTGGCTCAAGTTGTGGAGTACTGTCCTTGAGCATAAAAGCTAAAAGACATTCCCCAGGCCCTGAGCTCAAAGCCACAGTATGGGCACCGAAGAAGAAAAAAATCATATAACATAGAACTGTGAATTAACAATGGAAAACAGTTTTCCCATTTAAATCAAGTCCACACAATTAACTAAAGCAGTATAACACTGGAAGATGGTGCTGTGTTAAATTCCAAAATTTGAATACTGGCATCCAATATTCTACATTTTATAATGCTTTGTTTAGACTTCAGTTTACAATTTTCAATACTTATTTTGATGTATTACTATCCCTAGACTATTATGTTTATTATTTTTTAAATGTTAGGCACTTGAGTTACCTAGTTGCCTTAAAATTATTTAAATGGAAGACACATAAAGATAGCAGATTGTTAGGCCTGAAGCTCTATCTCAGTGGTAGAGCAATTGCCTAGCATACTTGGGTCCTGGGTTTAATCCCCAGTAACACCAAAAAGAAAAGAAAAGCCAGGAAATAAAGAAAGGGAAGGGAAAGGAAGGAGAAGGAGAAGCAAGGGGAAATAGGAAAGGAAGGAGGATGTTTTTAAAGCAAGTTATTTATCAATAAAAACAGTGCTGTTCATGGCTCTTGCTCTGGAGAGGAAAAAAGGAAGTAGTATTTAATGCAAAGTATCCTGGTAGAAAAGTACATGTGGTAGAAGAGAATTCAGTGAATTATAGTCAGAAAGTGTCATACTTTCTTCAAAACTAAAAACCTCAATTATTTAAATATTACTTTCCACTATAGAATTTATTTTCTAATAGAAAAATTAGGGAAATAATATTTTCTTGTTGGGAAAACAGGACTTAACAGCCAAATATTCTCTACATGAAGTCCATGAAGCAGACATTTTCTTTTAGGTAGAAGTTATCATAGGGTTTAACAGCAATGTGTTTCTAAGTACTGATGACATGATTAGTTCTAGAGCCATCTAAGAAAACATTTTAAACCACCCTTAGAATTTCTCATGGGTTTTTGAAATGTATTCTTTCACACAGTTTTTTAATATATAGCCCAATGTTCTTAGATTTTCAGAGGATATTCAGTTTTGTGCTACTTAGGATTCCTTGACCAATTCCCAAAGCAATCCAGCTGAAAACTACCTTTGTAAGGAATGGAAATCAAAGAGTTTTTATCTCCAGTGCCCTTGGCCAGTTTTCTATGGATGGACATTAACAGGTCATTCATTAAAGAAGAAAGGAAATCTGTATGTGGCACGGGACTTGGTGAAACAGTGAATGCCTCTTTAGGTCTCCAGCCTTCAAAGCCTTGTTGGCATTCTGAACAGGAATAAGGTCTTCTGCATGCTGCTTCTGGGTACAGAGGTGTCCTATCTCCTGGGTTCAGCAGAGAAGTCTTTGATCAGGGATCTTGTCAGCTGCAGCCTCTGACAGCAGTGAACATGGCTTTAATTCTTGTCAGTATTTAGTGTTGTCAGTTGGCTCTCTCTGCTTCTGTCCCTTAGACTGGTGAGGATGTACTTATCAATGCGAATGTTTTTTTCTCTATTTTTGTTCTTACTCAGGAGCCCCAAACTACTGTAATCCACAACCCTGATGGAAACAAGGTATTCAGAAAGAATCAGCATCATCTAGCTCAACAAGATTGCACATCTCATCAAATGCGCAATGCAAAATTAATTCATGATCCAAACATAGAAAATCTTCACCCTTTTTTTTTTCTTCCTACCACACTTTCTTTTGTTTGGTCTAATTGGCCTAGAACTATACACAGGTTTCTTTCAAAGAAAAATAAATGACATGATAGTTTGAAAGACAAGTCAATGGTGCCTTGGTTAAAAAAGAAAATATGGAAGTCAGGTTGAACATTGAAAAAGTCTTTGTGTCAAGAACAACTCTTTGTGTCTGAACAGCTCTATTTGGTCTTTTCTTTTTTCCATGACTGTTTGTGCATCATATGGTAGATGTGTGCTGCATGAAATTTTAGGATTTCTTGCTACCATTCCATTGTCTTAAAAAAAAAAGTCACCGTTGGTTCATAGGTTTTTCTTTTTCTTTTTTTTTAAATGTTGTTTTCGAGTTTTATTCTATTCCATTGTCATAGTGTTTGGGAACTTTTGTCTTTCCATTTCTTCTTTTGATTGTGTTGTTGTTTGGCATGAGTTTGAGGAGAATCAGAATTGACTTCTCATGAAATGTGTTTATAGTTGAGGTATATGCGTTTCTGTAACAAACATTTAACTACACTTTTGCAAATGAAGACTTATGAATTCTACCTGTTGTAAATTATTTTACAGCATGTTAACAAAACAACACCACTTACATACATGTCTACATGAGGAAAGGAGACATTTTCTGAAAGTATTCCATGTTTCTAGTTTATTCCTTTATGTATTACGTCTCTAAGGAGAGGGAAAAAATACATCATCAGGGTTTTCTCAAACATTAAATACAATTGTGGGTCTTACGTTTCCTTACTTTTATCAGTGATGGCAAAAACTTAGAAAATACACTTAGTTGATCAATATGAAAACTACTAAAGTTAAAACACATGAAAATGTGTTTGAGAATAAGATGTAATTTGTAGTTATGGTACTGGAAATGTTCTAAGTTACTGAAAGACTTCAAATAGTTAGGGCAATCTAACATAGGAGAAACATTTTTTTTAGTAGCATTAGCAAATGAATGACCAGGCTTAACACCTGGAGTGCTAACTTTGTCATTCTATTGCTGTCATTTGTAAGAGTGGCTGCATGTGTTTCTTGCTTATGTGAATTGGTTTATCTTTTACAGTGCATGGGTTTACCTTCATTTCTCATTTAAGTCTGAATGCTCCATCACATTGAGAAACGCATGAAGACTTTTCTTTGGTTTTGTGTGTATGGAGACTCTGGATACATTTTGGTTTTATATTGTGTACTATATTTATATCAATTGATTACTTTTCAAAATATTGAATCTATGAAAGAACACTCTGTGGGATTTGAATCACTTTCTAAAGCCTGGTTTTCATTACTAAACATTAGCTTCAGCTCTAGTCTTTAACCATTCCAGGCAGAAAATTGTGTCTTTCTTATAAGTATTGCAAAATATCTTTGCTAGGGAATATTTCATTCATTCATTTTTAATGACAACACTTATCAAACCATTTTAAGCAATCTTAATACTGGCAGTTACAATGAACTTTTAAGTGTTCCTACTTACCTACACCTTCATTTGTAGTTTTATAAAGGAAGAGCTTTATTTTTTTCTTACTCCAGGAGCAGTTATCATTGCTAGCCAGTTTCCAGTTTATGGAAGAATGGAAAAATTCTAACTGACTTAAATTATTTATTATAATGCTGCCATTGTACTCATGACAAACGTCAGTCTACCTCAGCTTAATGCCTTTAGCTTCTTATTCAAATTGTTTCATGCAATGAAATATTTCCTCTCTGTCCAAGGGACATACACAGAGACTGGAAATACTCTGCCTGACAGAGCACCTCACATAAAGATACCATTTGTTAGTTACTTGATTCATTCTGCTAGTGAATTTAATTTCTCATAAACATATATACACATACACAAATCACACTTTACAAAGCAGTGTAGTACCCACACATTTTATGTAGTTCTCAAAAAAATAAAAAGCCACATACTTCTGCTGCTTCTAGAAATCACCCAGATTTAAATTGCACTAGAAATTAGACAACCAGAGTACTCCCTCTTTGAAATGTTTGCAGCATTTAACATTTTATTTCTGTTGAAAACCACTTAACATATTTTGTCAATTTTGTTCATTTGCATGTCAGCATATTCACACAGACTGCTGAAGAATTTTTGCATGATACGTATATATCACCCGCCAATTGTTTTCTTTTTTAATGAAAAACTCTAGCTGCTCATTAATGCAACTTCAAAATGTGTCTTCTTTTCAACAGGAGTCAACTGAGAGTTCAAACACAACCATTGAGGATGAAGATGTGAAAGGTATGACTGAAATGAGAAAGCCTAATTCAGAGCTCCACGTTTATCAGAGATTTTTTTGTATATATTTTTATTGTAAAAGTACTATACAGAGGGGTTACAGTTACATGAGTAAGGTAATGAGTACATTTCCTATCGAGCATTGTTACCTCTTCCTTTGTTTTTCCCCTACCATCCCTTCCCTCCATAGCTCCCCAACTCCTCCCTCTCACCCACCCCCCACCCCAAAGTTGTAAAGTTCATTTTCAGCATAATGTCTTGTACATCTCATTCTTACAATGGGTCAACCTGTATCCTTATTTCAGTATTTTGTTATTTCCCTTCCCCTCCCCAAATTAGAAAAATGTATATATAAGATGCAGGGTACCGATATCAAATACAGTGAAAACAGGGAAATTGTTTAAAATAATATGTTTAGGAAGGAGGTTCTTAATCTTTAAAAAAAAAAAAAGGTTTTTTTTGTAATGAGTAAAATGTCCATTTTCAGTCTTTCCCATCATATATGTTTTTAAATTACAGGTAATAGTACATGGTTGTAACCACTACTAGTAATGAATGACAATGGTATAAATAATAACAATGTAAATATTTCAGTTAAAATGTAATATATGCAAATGTATATACATATTAGGTATATTCATAAATCTTGTTTAGTAAACAATTTATATTCAGAGATGAAGTTTAATACCCGGGTAGCTCATGCCTGTAATCCTAGCTACTCAAGAGGCTGAGATCTGAGGATCACGGTTCAAAGCCAGCCCAGAAAGGAAAGTCCATGAGACTCTTATCTCCAATTAACCACCAGAAAACTAGAAACGGCACTGTGGCTCAAGTGGTAGAGTGCTCGCCTTGAACTTACAAGCTCAGGGACAATATCCAGGCCTCATGACCGACAAAAAAAAAAAGAGAGAGATGAAGTTTGAAAATAGCATTTAAATGGCACTTAAACTTTTCATGGTCTCAAGTAGGTACTAATGGAATTTTGTACATACATGACAGCCTTTTATTATGTGTTTTATGTTCTTTCCTATCTTCTTAACCTTTATTCATTTCTGTTGCCAAGGTGTACTCACCACCTATAAACAAATATACTTAACACAAATTTGCAATTCATAGCCTTCCTTTTGGCCAGTCACTTTGTAAATGTGTCCATTTAGCAGAGCAACAGTGACTCACACCTATAATCCTAGCTACTCAGGAAGCTGAGATCTGAGAATTGAGATTGGAAAACATCCCAAGCAGAAAAGTCCATGGGACTCATCTCCAATTAATCACTAAAAACCTGGAAATGGAATAGTAGCTTGGGTGCCAGGACACCAACATTGAGTGAAAAAGCTAACGAACAGTGTCCAGATCCTAAGTTCAAGCCTCAGTACTGGTACCAAAAAAACAAAACAAAAACAAATACAGAAAAAGTGTGCCTTTGGCTTCAGCTGCTTTTGCAGTGTTGTCCTCTTCTTTCTGTAATTCAGTATACAAAACTTCTACAGGTCGTTTGGCTGAAAAAAAATGATAACAATAAAGTATTTAAAATAGAATTCTTGTAGGAAAAGAATTTTTTAAAGACTTTAAATTTTTTTAGTTTTCAATAGTATTTTTAAATATTTTTTATTATAAAGATACTGTACAGAGAAAATTAAAGATTTTGATCCAGTAATTGATTCTACCTTATCTGAAAAGATAATGCATCTAATAATGTCACTAGCAGAGGTAAGTATATAGGTGGCATTAATAAAGTACAGTCTTTAAAAGTTTTGTTCATGTTATAGAATAAAGAACCAGGAAATTCTCAAGCCAAGAAGAGATACAGGCAATTTAAGAAATGAAAGTGGCAGTTCACTACAAGTTGCCAATCACCTTTGCTGACTTTTTCTCTTTTGGCTGACTAGAACAGCAGGTGCCGTTCGAGGGTTTTCTATTTATATTATAGAGTGCTGACCTAACTCTGCTTTAAGTAGTCAGTCGTTATTTTTTACAGGGCAAAGGAGGATGGCTGTGTAAAGGATTTTATTTAGTGAGTCTGTTTCTCTCACTCTTGCCCATGAGCTAAAATTTGAACTGAAGTAATTTTATGAATCACTAATGCCAGTCACATTAGATAAAGAGATCGTTTTTCAAAACCAAATAAACAGATGTTCCACTTAGCTTTTCCAATGATCCAGGAAGCACCTTTGCTGCTCATATTTTAGATTCATTGGCTTTTTCAACTAAGCAGAATGTTTTCTATGGTTTTTCATCCTCCTCCTTGATCCACAGTTTTGAAATGGCTAAATAAAGTTAGAATATGGAAATCTCATAATTTGTGTAGTTCAGCCAGGGATTGTTTCTATCTTGCTGATACAAGAAGGGCTTTAATTGGTGATCTTTTTCACCTGAATTTGACTCTTCAGTTATTAAATACTGGCTCAGCATCACTGTTCATAATTTATGTAAATATCAATGTACAAAGGAATCCTTCAGCCAATGGTGACATATACTTACAATGCCAGAAACTGGGAGGCTGAGAAACTAAGATCTTGAGTTTGAAGTTAGCCTAAGCTATATAGCAAGTGCGCATCTGAAAATGCAGGGGAGGAACAGGCACAATAGCTCACACCTATAATCCTAGCTTCTGGGATGGGAAGGTGGAGACTGAGTGGGTTTTATTGCCCAGGCAAAGGATTTGGGAATTCAATCCCAATCAATAAAAAACAACAACAACAACAACAATGCTAGTGATCATCCCAACCACTTGAGAAGCATAAATAGGAGGGCAGCAATCCAAGCTACCTGAAGCCTTTTGAAAAATAACAAAAGGGCTTAGGATGTGACTCAACTGAGAAAACACCTGTCTTGTAAGCTCAGGGTCTTAAGTTCAAACTTTATTCTTTCCTAAAAGAGGTGAAAAAGAAAGTCCTAAAGGGCTCACAAGTAAAAACAGTATTTGTCTTTATAGTTATGTTGAATCTGTGTGCATGATATTAAGCATAATATTGAAATAAAAAAGAAATACCTATTTGATAATCCACTAGAAGTTTTAGGGTTTTTTAAAATTTATTTCCTTGGCCTACTAAATTATTTAACTTTGTTTTATTTTACAATAATGGAGTGTACACACGGGCAACAGATGTACCATATTAAGTCCTTATTCTCTGTACAGACCAGTCTTTTGGTAGGTTAAAAAAAATGATTCTATATTGTTTTGGGGGGATTCTAATTCATTTAATTCTGATTTAATTTTATTATTTGTTTCTATCTACTTGATTGGGGTTTAGGTTGTTGCTCTTTTTCAAGGAGCTTCAGGTGTCTCATTAAATTGTTGGTTTCAGATGTCGGCAACTTGTTTATGTAGGAATTCAGAGCTATAAACTTGCTTCTGAATACTGCCTTTGCTGTGTCCCAGAGGAGCTGGTAATTTGTGTGTTCATTTTTGTTGAATATCATGAACATTTGAATTTCCTTTCTAATCTCTTCCATGGCCCACTGATGGTTCAACAGTATGTTATTCAGCCTCCACATGTTACAGGACTTTCTTTGGTGGCTTTTGGTGGTCTGAGAGAATGGAATTCTATGCCTCCATCAGAAAGAATGACATTGCCCCATTTGTTAGCAAATGGAAAGACTTGGAAAAAATTATATTAAGTGAAGTAAGCCAGGCCCAAAGAAACATAGGTCCCATGGTTTCCCTTATTTGCAATAACTAGTATAAGTCTAGGACATCCAGAAATGGTCAAAAGCTATGTACATATGACCATAGAAGAAGATGATGTTAAGTGAAATGAACCCCAAGATAGGGACACAGTGTTTTTTTTTCTTGCTTGCTTGCTATTGTTCTTAATGTATTTAAAATGTACTATGTGATTTTTTTGTTTCTCTTGTATGTTCTTCCCTCCCCCCCCCGCCCCCGTATAACCCCTGTTTTCACTAAAACAGATGCCCTGCATCTGGTATATACATTTTTCTAATTGGGGAGGGGAAAGGAAATAACAAAATGCTGAAATAAGGATGCAGGTTGACCCATTGTAACAATGAGATGTACAAGATACTATGCTGAAAACAAACTTTCAACTTGGGGGGCAGGGAGGAGGAAGACTTGAGGGGGTGGAGAGGGTGAGGGATAGTAGGGGAAAAACAAAGGAGGAGGTAATAATGATTCATAAGAAATGTACTCATTACCCTACTCAAGTAACTCTAACCCCTCTGTACAGTATTTTTACAATGAAAAAAAAACGTAAAAAATGAGTGATATCAGTAATCTTTAAGACTAAAAGGTATCTTGAAATATCACCCAGATAGGCCATTATTCTGACTGTAAGGCAGATGAATGAATGAATGAATGAATGAAGCAGTCATAAATGAATGTAATATGTTTGCTGTATTGATAATAGATATGCTTGTATAGGGTTCTCTCCACACATGAAGCCCAGTCCTCAAGGAATGTCCTAAACAGCCTTTTATATTCTGACGATACATGCTTCTATTCACCCGTGATTCACTGTCACCTGGGGTAGCTTAATAGGAAATGTGCTCATTGTCTCTGTTAAGTCCCAAATGTACCTAACTCTGTCTGTGTGTGTGTGTGTGTGTGTACCTGTGTACCTGTGTACCTGTGTACCTATGTACTTATATGAAATGGTCAAAAAGACTAACTCATAATCTGACCAAAACTGTATCTTCTGTTCAAGACCATAATGTATCCAGACATTGACTACCTTGCTTCCATAAGCGCAGTGTTGATGTCATTCTCTCTGTGTACAGTTTGGTTTCAGGATGAAATACTACACTTTCCAAGAAGATCTTTTAGGCATGTTCCCATAGCACATGACTGCAGGCCAGTCTATGCACTCCACACTACAGCAGGTTCTCACAGACAGCATCTAATGCTGGCACCTAGACTTGCATTATTTCGAGGTGTTATTTGGACCTCTGGCCTTTGACATGACAGCTTCTCTGTTCTCTCTCCACTGTAAAGAGCATGGCTGTGGGTCACTCACACCATAACCTCTTCAAAGGAAGAAATGAAT